TTAGAGTTGAATGGTTGCTGAATTTGACCATTGGGAGTTACAATGAAATCTCCCTATCACACCAATATTCCATCGAGGTTATGTTATACTGCAAATTTTAATTAAAAAATTAATTGTGCATTATGTGAACAAAGCATTCATACTACGGGCACTTTAAAAATTAAGGTGGTAGTAGGAGTAGTTTTATTTTTAGGACAACGATACGTACACCTTCATCCGTTACACATTCTGTTACACCACACTACCTCTTCGTTACACTCCGTTAATTCCAAACCCGCCCAACCCAACCCTTTCTTTCTCTCTCTCTCTCTCATTCCCTTTCTCCATGTACTTCCATGTTGATCTTCTACTCCAGTTTTATCTTCTTCTCCAATTCATATAAATTTTTCAACAACAATAAAAATTTCTCTTATCATCTTAAATTTTTTTAGGAACCAAGCATATTTTACCTAGGAAAGTTTCTTTCCACCTCCAATTTTATTATCAACCAAACAACATTCCATTTTATCAAATTTATAAAAATTCTAACAAAAATTTATAAAAACTCATTACCTTCTTCTTCTTCTTCTTCTTCTTTTTTTCTCTCTCTCTCCTAGAACCCAAATATGGGTTTTCCTTAAGAACCCAATCTGGGTTCTCTTGGAGAACCACAGTTCTCGATTTGGGTTCTCCTGGGGAACCCACAGGTTCTCAAGAACCCGATCAAGGAGGGGGGAAGGGAAGGAAGAAGGGGGGAGGAGAGGGAAAGAAGAAGAAAAAGAAAGGAGGAGGAAAAAGAAGGAAGAAGGTTGAAAATCTATCTGATCTCTTCTATATATCCTTCTAATTCGCTTTCCCCTTGTATTTTTGTTGCTTAAATTGTGAATGACCCAGCAGCAACCTAGCAAAAGAGAGAAATTAGGAGGGAAAATGTCCAGATCTAGTGTTGATGGAGGGATAGAGAGAGAGAAAATGAGAGGATGAAATTGCAGGTTTTGTGAGGGGCAATTGCAAGTTTCGGGGTTGGATTGGGTGCCGTTTCAGAGTTAATGAGATATAACGGAGACTGACGGAAAAAGTGACGGAAAGTGAATGTGTGTAACGGGAGGTGTAAGGATGAGTGTATACGTAGCATTATCCTTATTTTTATTATGCACTGTTAGATATATATGTACATGTTTTTGGGATAATTCTTAGTATTTGAAGACCAATTTTTTTTTTTTGAATAATTTTAAAAATCCACCCTTTATATCAATCTTAAGACTCGAATTTTGGACCCATACATCTTATAAGACAATATTCACTTATAGGGGGGAACCGAGATCAATTATTGAGTAGAGGCCTATAATATTTTTTAACCAATAAAGCCTAAAATTAAAAGATTTTTTGTATTATTTTTATTTTAATGGATAGGGCCTACAATTGTAAAACTTTAAAAATTACGAATTTTTGTTTTTATGAGAGAATAGAATCTTTACCTAACCCCTCTTGAGTGTCCCCCTACTTACTTATCAAGAGGTGCAACTATTGAAAAATGCAATTAAAATGAAATATAGATACAAGAGTGGGAAGCCAAGCTAATGAAATGTTTTTGGACAGGGAAACTGTTTGTTTGATGTCAAACCAGGAAACACAAATGCACGAGGGAATTAAATCATGATCTCTTCTCAATGCTGCTGACTCAACAAACCCAATTGGCATAATGATTTACTAGGATGGAAACTTTTAATTTTTATAACACTGGTTAAGGTTTAAGGTGTTTTTTAATATTAATTGGCATTAAAAAATAAAAATTAATTTTTCTTTAATTAATTAATAATTCATTTAATATTACTAATAAAATTAATGTTAATTTTTATCTTTTTTAATATAAATTAATATGAAAAAATATATTAATTATATCCTTTATCTATCATATTAGAACTACCTTTTGTGTCTTGAGAGGGCTACCTTTTGTATCTGGAGACACGGTACAATTGTTTACCCATTTTGCTTCTGATCACATGAAGTCTCGGCCCAATATAGACTTACTTCTTACTTAGATTGGCATTTCCCCTCATGGCATATTGGTATAGTTATTGTTACTATAAAAAGTATTAACATTTTTATTTTTAAACTTTTTTAAATAGTATTTAAAAATATTAATTTATTAATAAATTAATTATTAATAATTATAATTATTAATTATTTTTATCAATTGAATTAAATTAAATTAAATTGATATTTTTGAAAAATATTTTATAATTTTTTATAATCTCAACGCTTTGCGCAATTGACTATAACCTTGACCAGCATATCCCCTC